CTATTCTGATGTCGATGTTCTGCCAGCTGGAATTGAGACTTCACGTATTCGCTGAACGAAGGTGCTATGGTGCCTGCGACGGCCTCCACCTGTTTCGTCCAAGTGCGCAGTCTCATACCTAACTCCCAGGGTTCCCCCGAACTTAGATTTAGATCTGGAACCTCCTGTAGCAATTTCCACCTTCCGTGGTGGATGTTCTCTTCTGCCGAATCAACTGTCCTGGCTGGCGCGGCACCAACACTAAGACCCGGCGGTGGCTGACTACAGCCCTGAAAACCTCCAACCGAACCCGGAATCCCTCCAAGATCGTTGGTATTCGATGGTGGCTGAGGCGCGGCCGTACCGCTGCACTCGGGAATCACTGATGGTTGCGGCACTGCTTCCCCTGGAATTGCTCCACTGCTGCCGCTCTCGGGATTTGCTGTTGCTGTTGTGCACTCAGCTGGACCGGTATACTCATAATCCCAACCATCTGGTAAACCCCACCATTCTTGCTCGTATGCATTGACCTCGGCATCGTTTTCTGGAATACCCTGCTCTTCCGCATCCGCAATCCAGAAGTGCTCGCACAAGGTTTGTAACTGCATAACTTCCTCGCGAAGGCTGGCCTGTTGCCCTGCAACGGCCTGAAGTTCCTGCTTCACGCCCGTGATATCATCAGTGAGTGCTTCTTGTCGCGATCTCACAACACCCATCTGATCCCTAACACCCTCTGTGATTGATGCAAGATCGGTCAACCTCGCAGATATCTCACTATCCATGGTGTTGCGCCTCCCTGGAGCTGCCTCTACCAGCGGCTCTAGGCGACTTGCTGTACTCTGTGATAATGCACACACATCATCCAAACGGCCATTCAGCTCACTGTGGATTCGCACTATGTGGGCCTCAATCTGTGCTTGCCATTGTTGGGGCCCCATCCTTGCAGTCTCAGCTTTCGCCTGGACCGCACTCAGCTGCTCGCGAACAATTGCGAACTGCTGCCGCATATCCGCGCTGAGCTGTTCACATTTGGAGTCTATCTCCTGCCTCAAGGATTGGTTTTCATTCATAAGACAGGCCAAGGTACGGCTATGGGCTTCCATTCCCTGCTGAAGCCTGTCCAAGTTATCCACTAAGGCATTGTATCCGGAATGTAGCGTAACACAAGCACCACCAAGGACATTGGACCTGTATTGTAAGCGATCGTTCAGCTCGACAACTGCGGCTCTCAGATCGTCTATCAATGATGCGTCCAATGAAGCTGCCTCTGCAAACTGCTGAAGAACTGACGTCGGGATCTCCAGCCGTGTCGCTTGCACCAAGGTAGCTGTCTGCAAGGGTGATGAAGGTTCTGCTGTTGCGAAGTTGCTGTGTGGAGCCCTTGGGCTCATAACCTGTTGGTTATGAGAAGGGTAAGCCGCTGCAACTGCTGAAGCTGGTAGCTGAAGCTGTTGCTGCTGCTGTTGCTGCTGTTGTAAGTGCTGTTGATTGGTGATGCTCGGCCTCTCTGGAGAGCCGCTGTCGGTAACTGGGCTAAAACGTTCCGGAATAATTGTTCGCCTAATTGGGGTGAAGGGTCCGTCGTCATCGTCGTCCATCCCCGAGCTACATAAACGACAACCGAAAGAACCTACCAAAAACCGAAAGAGCCTCGACCCTCGCAGGCGGCATCACGTTGTTTTCTCGCACTTGAGCCAATCCCGTTGGTATCATGGCCTCTTGACCCATGCTTGAAACAAGCATAAAATATGCATGCGCAAACGTGTGTGTGGAAGTCTTCGCTCCCTACTCCTACGATTTCCACCTCCTAGCAAAGGAGACAGCGGTGCGTGCACAAACGGAACATGGACATGTTGTGTGCATGTTCCTCGGAAGTTAAACTACCGCAGGAGTCGAACAGAATGGAAAGAATGTTTGCGACCTTAATTTCTGCCATACTCCACTGACTGATACTTCGACCATCATGAGCATTGGCAACATGGAGCATCTGGCCTATTACCAACATGCTGGGTGCCGTCACACGGCAAACAACCTCACTGGAAGCCGCCTAACGGCTACAACGCCCTTCACTGCAGAAGGCTGAGCGAGATTGCAGACGAAACTGCCAAGAGGCACTGTGCATCACGATGCATAGGTGCCGACCGGCAGAACTGGGCTCGCCACAAGACTGCGGCTTCACGTCGTGAAGCAGACATGGTACGTTTTCTGTCTTCGGCCGGAACAAGGCTGGAGGCACACATGCAATGTACAGCACCAGCCAACGATGCTGAGTGAGCGATGTGACCTTGGCTTTCCGCCTCGTCACTTAAGATCAGAGTGAGACGAGGTCCATTCGCTTACGACTGAAGCACCAAGGAATAAAAATAGGCAACCTGAATGATTCAAGCACGCGCGATTCAAGAGCGTTTGGTGCCTGCACGGTTTAGGGACCGTGGGGTTGTGCTTGGGAGGGTGTTTGGATAAGTGCCTTGGGCTGTTTTGGGGTTTTTAAGAGGTTCGGTTTGAGTTTGAAAGCTTCACAGCTGCCGCCTAGCACAGGCTGTTGAATGAGCGTTGCGACTCTCAGGAGCGAGTGAATGCCCCGGCCGTTGGTGCAATGCACGCAGTGGTTTTAGACATTTTTGACTTGAGAGTAGATCGGTGGATGTACCTCGTCTCATTTTTGTGAGCCTTTCTTCACCAGCACGCGATGAGCATCAAGGTCTATGCGCGGTCCGCGTTGGCTGAGCAAAGTACGCCGGTCTCGGAGGACTCAGTTTGTCTTAAGAAGTCCTCCTCGCATGCCGTTGGGCGGCATGACGCGTGCTCAGTCGCGAAGCACTGTGGGCAAAACCCGTCGGCGCCGATGCAAGCACCGTCACAGTGCCAAGCCTGCTCGAAAGGAGCTCAGCGATGCCTTCCTTACCTTGGCCGTGAATTTCACCGACCAGGACGTTTGCCAAAACAACGGGTGATTGGCTGTGCGACATGCGCCCGAGTGACCAGCCGTAGTCTGGTCAGGATTCAACAGCGGGAGTGCATCACGTTCTAACTTGATGGGGAATGCCATAATGTTTTCCAGTCAGCTGGCACTTTGCGGCTCAGCCACATTTTGGCGGGATCGCTCGGAGTGTGCTGCTGGCGGCTGGCGCTGGCTTTCTCACAGCAGCAGTCCTTCCTGTGCTTATTTTGCATCCACAAATGTAGCTGTAGCAAGGAAATAGCAAGCCATTTCCTGAAATCTGCGCAATGTCTTCGGCAGCGACATGCTGGGGTAGGAACTGCCAGTCCTCGTGAACCGAACTCGAAGCCTTCTGGCACGCCTTCTCGGTCGGCTCCCCCACGACGACGAAGCAGCATGCAGCTTGTCTTGCGTACTTTTGCAGACGCCGCGGTCCCACACGCCTGCGCCCATAACTACAGCACCGCCCGCAGGACTTGGATGAAGGAGACATCGGAGGCGAAGCATCGACTTCTGGCATTGAATAAACTGTCCCGGCGAAGAGCCTGATGCATGGTCTTTTTCATGTTTGGAGCTCTTCATGGACGTTCCCGCCAGAACGAAGTACGAGAGCCAATTATCCTGTATTCCAAAGTTATGCGCCGACCTTGTTCTCTTCTGGTCCACATACTTTCCCAACCTCCCGGCCAGACTTGCCTTTGATCTTGCTTCGGGCGATATTTTGCAGTTCCTTGGCTGGACGCGAAGAGCCTAAAAGAAGCTTCGAAGAAAGCAGTGAGGTCTTTTACCGAATGAGGGGGCCAATAGTTTTCCCAAGGCAAGCCCCGCTTCTCGGCTCGAGAATCGGGGTTTGCTGTTCTTTTTTTTGGGGGGGGGAGGAGGCAATTGGCAGGGATGGTGTGGTCGAGGGTCGGGGTGCGAGTGGGTGGGGTTCTAGGAGGGTTGGGGTACATGAGAAAAAAGGTTCTTGCATTGTACTTGTCGATGGGCAAGCCAACCAAAGCAGTTCAGCTTTTCGGGTTGAACAATGAAAATACGAGCTTGCTTGATCGTGTTGTTATCTTCCTCGACCCACTGCAGCTGCGTCGGATCATCGACAACCTCCCAGACATATCGGGTTTGAGAAACACTTGTTCCCACGATGCGCTTTTGGTTGTCATTACTTCAGTGGCAGCTTGCGGCGGCGGCAAGGAGATCCGCGGTTTGAGACATTGTCTTTGTGAGCCAGAGCAAAATTTCACGATTTGTCTTGCGAGTTTTGTCCGGCAGTTTATGGAAAGCAAGAAAGGTGTCAAACCAAAGCTTGTACGATGTCCTAGTCCTAGTCCCTAGAGGAGACAGAGCTCTGCGAATGAGTTGGAGATCAGGGCGTTTACGGAAGGTCTCTCAAACGAGATCATTGATGGCATCTTGTCACGAAGATAAATGACCGTTTTGCAGGTTGCTTGTGGATGCTGCAGCACATCTGCGAAACTGTTGCTAAAGTCTTTTTGACCATGTTGTTTGTAATGCCTGTACCAATGTTTCCTTTGTTACGAGGTGAGTATGGCCACTACCAGCTTGGCGAGAGGAAGGGTAGCGGAGCTTACCGGAGCTTACGGGACGGTTTACTTGGCCACAGAGCAGCAGACCGGAAGGCCAGCAAGTCCAGCACGTGGTTCATCCAGTCATTGCGGTATCAGTGTGCGCCAGCAGTGTTGAAACATTGCCAACCTCGTTTGTCATGGCTTGTAATCGTTTCACCTACACGCGCAAGCCCATCCAGCTGCGGCTGCATCAGGCAAGTCGTGGCCAAAGTCATCGCCATCGGATCGGAGGAGTCATCGACATCGTTTCGCACGGAGCAGCGTGCATCTTAGCTGCATAGTTCCCTCGGACCTGGAACACCGGGACGCTTTTGGGCAGTTTGGCATGGCTTGCTGATCGCTGCCGTGCATTTCTCGGAAAGTTGGCCGTCGCATGCAAAGTGATCTGCTACTGCTCTGGTCTCCAGAGCGCCTTTGCGTGGTTCGGCATCCTCGAAACACGAAAAGATTTGTGCACACATGACATGACACTTTGCTCCGAGGTCTGGAAACACATGCAACGCTGCCCGGGCTACCCCCATCCGAACGTCATCCGCTACTTTGAAGTCATCGATTGGAGATCGAGAGGCGGAGCACATGGGCGCTAGTTTTTAAATGGGTTTTTCTCCTTTGTGCCTGTTGGAGCCCCGATGTCAAAGCTTTGCTGCTCGGTTCTGTGCCAGAGGCGTGGTAATCATGGAGTTGGCGGCTGGTGGCAGCCTGTCAGACACCCTCTACGACGGCGTAAGTGCAGAGGGAGCAGTGGCTGGTGTTCGGACTCCACTGGGAGATGTGCCTTGGAAAAACCGAGCAAGATGATCGGGTGCCGTAGCGGCCCTAGCAGCAGCACTCCCGCGAGGCGAAAGCCAGCAGATGTTCTGTCAAGTGCGACCGTTTTGTTGTATGAGGGTTCTGCTGGACATGTTAGGCGCTGTTGGCGGATGAAGCCCTGGCCAAGAAACTCTACGGCCAATTGGCTGCTGGATTCCAGTGGCTTGGACAATGTGGCGTGGTACACAAGGATCTCAAGCCTGACAACATCATGTTGACGAAGCCTTTTCTGCAAGGTGCGCTGCCTCACAGAGGTTAGATGCAGTTTTGGAAGGGTGAGTGCGTCGATTCGGCATAGATTCTGTTCAAGCTTTTAGTTAGCTACAATTGCACCGAGATCAGGAGCATTCTTTCAACGCACCGTCTCTGTCGTGCTGCAAAGGTCTTTCTGGGACTTTCCACCACCCATGGCCCATTGATTTTGCTTTCATTGCAAAGCTGCAATGGAACTTCGGTGCAACTCTAAGCTCTAAACGGTAGGTCCTCTTGAGGCGGCATCATCAAGATCATCGACTTTGGTTTGGCCTCCTTGACCAGTGACCAAAGAGCAGGACCTGAGGGGATGGATAGATGTGGGTTTTCAGGTTAGCGTTCAGGGCGTAGGGTTTAGGGTTTAGGGTTTTGGTGGTGACTAATGACTAATCATAACCTTGTCGCACGTGGTATTCCTCACCGCTTGTTGGTTGGAAGTATCAATATTCGGGGATTTTGCGGCGATATGCAAAATATCACGGCTCACCAGGGTTTTTCGCAGTCAAGGGGTGCCAGGAAGCCTCGCGAACATGTACTACAACCTCCACCAGAATGTGGACCCAAGAACCAACAAGAAAGGCACTCGCACTTTCGATGACTTCGCCATGGGTTTGATTTTGGCCGAAATCGGCACCGGCGTGCCACCTTTCTTCAACCCCAAAAACGATTACTTCTCCAACAAGGGAAACCTTCAGAACCAGAAAGGGATCTTCTACATCTTGCAGCCCAAGAAGGTGTGTTCAGCTGGAGATGCCGGAATTTTTCAGCCCAAGAGAGATCTGGCATTGGGCAAGGTGTCCATCGACGCGGCAGTGAAGGAAGTCGTGGGACGATCGTTGTACTACAATCAAAATGGACGCCACTTTGTCTACAACAGCGCGGTGGAGCAAGGTATCGGCAATGTGCAACTCCTGAGACTATGGTGGGATCGAGCTCTCAGTTTTGGTTGCTTTTAATGTCTGTGGCTTCTTCAGCCAGTGTAATATTGCTTTCAGGGTTTTAGGGAACACGGCCATTTCTTGTTGGCTCTCGTAGAAGTATGCTAGAACCAAGAACCCTCAGAAATCAAGGAAGCAGTCCTGGCTCTACAACTCCCCGGCAGCAAAGTCCCTTTTGCACTCCTTGCTGGCGGGCAGAGAGGCGACGCAGTGGGGGTTGCTCGATTTGAGGGGGGGTATCGTTCCTTATTTGGGGATTCTTCTGATGAGGATCCTGTTGTTAGAGGGGTGCCTACTCCTGCAATTCCCATTCAGGTGTGGTCAAGTGACAGTCACGCTGTTCATGATTTTGCATCAGAGCACAGTGACTAATACCCAAGACAGGAACGGTGAGCATTCCCTAAACAGGGTGCGATGACCATCCACAGCTGAGTATCGGTGGTGCATGTAGTCCGGACAGCCTGCTATACCTCGCCAGCTGAAAGCATCTCGCGGACCTCTTTGCTTAGTGGATCATGGGACTCAGTAAGTCGGATTGCAAGATTCGGTGTACAAGAATAAGAAGATACAACCATACCATATTTACCTGACTTAAGGCCCTACTGCCCCCGCTGATCCTTCAAGTGGTTTCCTGACAAGGACGACCGCATTGAACCTTCGACTTTGATGTCTGCCGAGTGGCTATCAGATGTCCGTGCCATGCCAAGTCCCGAGACTCCTGTTGCGGAGATGCCTCTGCAACCTCCGGTGGAGGCCCGCAGGTATCTCCGGATAAAGATATCAGGATATCCGCACATCTAGACTCGTCGGGGTGCCTTGCTGGCAGGGAAAGGCACACGTGGTACTGAATGCCAGTTCAATGCTGTACTGCTGGACTTTGTCGGGGCCGGGGTCGCAAGGGACAGTCATGCATTGGTCTCGTGTGTGCACTAAAGCTCACCTGTCACAAGAAACTGCGCGCTGAGGAACAAAAGCCTTCGCTCCAAAGAACTTAGTTTAAGTTACAACGTAAACGAAACTACATTACTTTCGATGGGATCGTATTATGCTAATTTGATTTCTGTCCATTCACAAGCCGGGAAGGCCTGAGACCATAGGCATTGCTCGTGCTGTCAGGCCCACGTCCACGTCCCACCGCCTGCGCCTCCTCGCGTGCAAGATCTCCGAGAGGCACCTTAAGGTTATTATGGTTGTTCTTTTTCTCAAGAGTAGAAGACATCAGGAGAACAGAGTGGTGAGGCATTGCAAACAGTAACATACCTCCGCGGAGCAGAGTGCTTGTACTTAGCCGCTGATAAGCCCGCCTTGTTGATGATACGTGGCCTTTGACCATGTGTTTGCAGAACTATGCGAGGAAGAAGAACCGGTGGAGACGAAGCCGGAAGCTCCAAAGCTGAACATGTGCAGAAACCCCTACAAGGACCTGCACAAACAACTTTTGTTTACAGTGTAGGTTTTAGGGTCTAGGCCCTGCACTTTAGGGTTTAGGGCTCAATGCGCGCATGACTCGCAAGACTGGGCCTTTTTGAGTTGCCTTGGGTGGGGCAGGCCTCAAACACTAGTTGTTTGGTGCAAAGTTCTTTTTTGTGTTCGTTGTCTCTTGCTGAAACCAGCCCGGAGGAGCGTGGACCACCCTCCTTGTGCAAAGTGCGCCACTCAAGCCACAGCGACTGCTATGTGGACATTATTTGCAGCGGTGGTCCCAGCCATATCGTAAAACTCGAGCAGGGTTTTGGCGCCGGGACGGTGCCAAACTGTGGAAACTGTCGGTTGGCCTGATATCCATAAACCCAAAGCCCCAAAGCCTCAATAATGCATCCATCCTGGGAAGCAGGCAGCCGACTCGTGCAGAGAGTTTAAACCCTAAACCTGAAAGCCGGCCCAGTCCGCTCCGCAGAATCTCACGAGTGAGCTTTCTGTCCATAGTTGTGAGTTAGGACTTGACGCTGTTTGTTGTCTCAGTGCCAGCATCACCCGAAGGAAACAGTGAGAACGCAGAGCGGAGACAGCACAGCGCGGCTTGAAGCACGTGTACTGTACATACCGTCTCGAACGTGGTCTCAGCGTGGACCCACCGGCTGAAGATGTCGAATGCAGCGCCGGCTGCCGGCCTTTATCAGGGCAGCATGGTGTTCGTGGACTGCAAAGAAGGATGGCAACACGGTGCTCCATGCTTTGCGCTGCAAGAGTGTCAGCGTGTGCGCTTCTCACACTGCATTAAGTTAGTTAAGGTCTTCTGCAGGTGCAAGTCTCGCCTCTGTCTTAGTCATGCCGCCACATCCATGCAACTGCAGTGCAATTTTCAGGAGCTCTCGTGCATGCATCGGAGATCTCAGAAGCAGAAACCCAAAGCAGACCTGGCCAGCCAGCCAGAAGTCACCAATCCTTCTTTAGCTCGAACATCAGTATAGTGTACTGCATACCCGGACCTGGAAGAAGAGAGATTGGAAGAGCCACAGAAAGGCACGCGGAACTTCCGAAGCGCAGGGCAAACGCAGGGTTTCAATGACAGCCATGGCGGATGAGACGTGGCGCTGTGGAGAGGCAGGAGTTTGCATGTTTTCGGACTCACCGGATGCCTGGTACAGAGTCTGAGCAGATCTTCCAAAAGGTCGACGGCGACGGCGGCTGGAAGGTAAGAATGTGCGATGACAAAGCCCACCTGCCACATGTGCACGACGATATTGCTCTGACTCTAGCTCAAACCCTTTCTGTTGCAGTCTTTCGGCGAGCGGCGGCCTTCAGCGCGGTATTTTGCCCACAGCCGAAAGTCGGATCGACGAAATCCTGCTTTGTAGCCGACGGCTGATACATCGATCGCTGAGAGGGTGTTAGACAGGATGTGGGTTGGTTGTGGATTTCATGCTGGAACAGAGGGACGAGGTGAACCATTCATGGAGTCTTCGTGTCCATCTTGTTTGGAATGAATTGTGGCCATGCTGCTTCAATGTTGCCAGCACCGGTTGTGAATTGGAGAGCAGTCACCAATGGCATCGTCAGTGTTTGCAGATGGTACGAGCTTCAACTGGAAAATGCGAGGGAGGTATTGGTTTTGCCAACGGCTGCACATGGTTTCAGCTTGCCGTTTGTAATGTGGATCATCTCCTACACTACAGTGTAGTTGCAGTTGCCATCTTGCTCTTTCTGTCTGCTTGGTTCGGGTCCCGATGTAAGGTAGAAAGGTTCACAGAGGCGGCTGGTAGCCGCGCGGGGAGCTTGGGGCCTATGATTTCTGAGTGAGTGTGTGTGTGTGTGTGAGACGCTTCAGCCTAACCCAAACATCCGCCGGTTTTCGACTTCTGGATCATGACAGTGATGCATTAGCGATCCGATGTTTTCGTCTCTTGTTGATTGCTGTGTTGTCTGTTTGGGATGACTTGGGATTCTGACCGCTTTGATAGTCCAAGTAGTCGGTCCGGTTGTCGTGAAGCCCTGCCTGGCTTGTTCGAGCGAGAAAATCGATTGAAGCCCTAAAAGCGGTCAGAGTTTCCGAGTGTGCCGAAACATCAAAACCAAAGCTCATCAACCAACTGCGGCAGCCATGGCCAGCAAGCCATGTCCCACACGACCGAGCCCGCCGCCGCCTGTGTGGGCATCGAGCTAGATGTCAGCTGCTTGGGGGTGAAATGGGCTTCGTGAGTTTTTCGTTGCGAATTTCGGTTCAATGGGGTGGGATATCGAGATGGCAAGCCTGACTTCGCAGCAAGACCAGTTCATGCCAAGAGTCTTCAGACAAACAATATTACAGATGCAGAACTTGTGAGGCAGTCTCTCCTGCGGTTCTCCTGTAGATTGTGGCCGCTAAGCCGGCTGACTCAGTCTTCTGGGGAGTTTAGGGTTCAGCAGACTCGGCAATTTGGGGCTGAGGGGCTTCGGGACAGGGAGTTTGGGTTTAGGGGTTGAGGGCCCAGAGTTTTGAGATTTAGGTATCCGCATCCGTGCCCGATGATGTTGAAAACCAGCTTCCAGCTTGAGCTGCCTGTCATATACTTAGAATCATTATAACTATAGTCCGTATATACTCATCGTAATTTCCCACAAAAACCCTAAACCCTTCAGTGTATAAACTTCAAGTCGGCTCTACCTAACAGGTATTCTGACTGTAGCAGGAAGGAAAAGGGCCCGCAAAACAAAAGAGATAAGTGCCTAAACCCTTAAATCCTGATCCGAGTATGAAGACCCCGAACGCTGAGGCCTTCTCTGAACGAGAGCCAGCTTCAGCCTGTCATGGTCAGGATCTCAGTGGAATAGACTGTACCATACTATGATCTACTATACTACATTCTAAGACATTATCTACTATACTGAACTATACTGTACTATTATACTATAGTCTACTATGTTATAACAGGAATGCATGCAGTCGCCGTGTGAACAGTTCAGGGACCGGCTTTCGCAGGACAGTCCGGTCCTGCCTTGCAGATCTCGCTGAAGCTTGACTCAGGGTATCAGCGCAAGAAAGTAACATTGTTGAGAGTATAGGTCTGGGGCTGATGGTTCGTGGCACCTATAGAAACATCTGTAGTGAATCAGTGGTGCATGCCAAGGACAGATGGCAGAATATCTTTCACCAATTTGGCAGCATGCTCGATGCTGTCACAACGCTTGGCGCTGTTCTGCAGCGCCGACACCCAAACATACACCTGCATCTACCAGCAAGACTGTTTGGAGAACTCGCAGATACTAACGTCACATCGCCTTCGTTGGCGATGCCGCTGCAAGATATCGGACATCATCGATGGATTGTTCTCGTCGCTACTCGCATCGGCATCGACTTGACATCAGTCACAGCATCTTCATCTTCTTACAACCATCATCATCACCATCAGCACATTACCCAGTTCTCGCCAATCTACCTACCCATGACTGACTATTGCTGTCAATACTGGCACTTCTCCTTCCTGGCCGAGGCCGTGCTATGCCACTCCATGCCATCGCTTGTGTACCTGGTATTATTGTCATCGACATGGCCAGCACGAACAGTCAGAAATAGCATCATGACCACCATCTTTTACTTAATTGAGCCGCCCCATGTGTACCAGCTCACCACAATGAACTTCACCGTCACCGTTACAGTACTTTCAACCGCGCCGGTACTGTGACTATCATTGCCATTACTGATAGGCACAACTAGATGAATTTCGCACCTGATACAACGTGCATGCTTGCCTCTGGAGGAGCCTGAAAACCATCTGCAACAACTGTCGGTCAGTTTGGCCACTGTCGTCACCATCAGAGTTCTTGTCGTCGCCATCATCATCATCGTCATCACCATCATCATCACCATGGCAATCAGGTCTGTTCTGCCTGACGGTCTTTGTCGATGACGAGAACGTTTTTACGTCGACTGCGACATATGTTGGATCTATTCAGTGAGTGTGTGTGTGTGTGTCTCTGGTTGGTTACTCTGACTCTAATTTCGTTGAAATTATCGTGCGCGAGATCATCGCAGCCATTGTATGTTTCCTAACATATCTCTTTCCAGTGAATGCCTCATCGAAGCAGTCCAGCAGCGCTGGCACTGAGTCTGCCTCAGGGCTTCGATGGTTCAGGGTTGAGGGAAGCCGATGGGCCAGAACAAGCATCTCCCGGATGTGCTGTGTTCTATCTCAAGTTCTTCGTGGTTGTCAGCATTTCTGTGAGGCCTGCATGCATGAAGCCGGATGCGCACCTCTCCCGGCTCCAAAACGTCTTCGTCATCATCGTCATCATCATCATCATACACCTGGATAAGGAGTCTCGCACCGGACGAGCAACATCTGTGTTACTGTGAGCGTACAGTATGATCATGGCATCAAAATACCCTTAAGTAGAATCGTATAAGAATACAACAGTACAGTTACTGATGTCATATAATCTCTGAACACTTCGGGTCGCCACTTCCCTGGTCTTCTATGTGGCACCCCTCAACCCCCCCGAAAAAACCGGAAGGCCTTGTAGGGGGGCTGCCACAGCCTTGTCCATACGAGACCTGCAAGGTGAGCATCTTCATACCCTAACCCAGAACCATAATATCCATGGTAATAATTGAACTATACGAATACTGGTAACGACAAGACTAAAAGCAATAGCAAAAATCATTATCATAGTAACAGTTTCCCGGCCTTCTTTCTGGATCTCGGAGTCCCAGAAACGAGCGACCTGTTTCATCTAAAGCTTTGTTTCGTTGAGACCTGCCTTCATTTGGGTAGTTGTCAGAATTAGCGTCCCTTTTTTGGGTACCCTAAATCGTAGGTGCCGTATCATACTAGGGACCCAAAAAGGGACCATACCCATGTTGGATTGGGATCTGACGAACTAAAACCGTCACGAAGCTTGCTGATGCAAGAAGCTTGAGCTCTTGACGACGGGCTACTCACGATGTTACAGCCATCCTTGCCCTTGCAGTCGGTGCTGTCGTTGGCTAGCATTATCAGCTGTCTGTGCCTGCTCTTCTGTCAACAGCTGTCTAAAATATCTACTACCACAAGGCACTACTTTACCCCTGACTGCACTACTACTTCTGCTGCTCCTCCTCGTGCCACTGCTGCGCTGCTAAGTAAACTCAGTAAGCGCCAAAGGGGGGGCAAGTTGAAGCGTGATCTTGGCTATCTTGGTCATCTTGCTCGGGGAGATATTTGGGTGGCAAGATGACGCGTCGTGTTGGTCGTCTTGGTCGGGAGAATGTGCTGATTCTGGAGGGGCCATCTTGGCCATCTTGACCACTTGTACCACCCGCACCACTTGCGCCACCCCGTACCGCTTGCACCACTCGTGCCACTTGTACCACTCGCAAAGGCTCTCCAAGCACCACCAAAATTGCAAAAGTACGGTTGTGTTGCCTGGTTGGCCTGTTCGCGGATTGCGCACGCAGGTATAGGCGTGCACGCACGGCGTGCGCACACCAGGAGACCACACCAGCAGCACAGGAGATCAGAAGGAAAGCAGCAGAACACTGTCAAAATGTTTCTTCCCTCAAGGATGCACCTAAACCCGAAACTCTAAACCCTCAAACCCTAAACCCTTAAACCCTAAAACTCTAAAACCCTACACCCCAAACCCTAAACCCGAAAATCTAAAACCTCAATGCAAGGCCACCCAACCTACTGGGTGGTGCCCTGCCCGATCCTGCTGCCCTGCCCTGCCGCCCTGCAGCTTTTGCGGCGTGGGGTGGGATTCCCACCTCATCGCCTTACTACGATGCACTCAACACAGCCTTGTCGCGAGATGCTGTTCCACGGCAAACCCTAAACCCTAAACCCTAAAACCATGAACCCTAAACCATAAACCCGAACCTCTGAATGCCCTAAACCCTAAACCGATGCACGCGCACCGGGCACGCGTTTGACCATTTTGCAAGTTGCAACCATGAGAGCCATTTTGCGTATTGGTGAACCTTCGAAACGGCCAATGTTCCTGATTTTGGACCATGTTGGCCTCCCCAAGGACCACCAAAATTGCTACAAGTTGTACGAGTGGTGCAATTCGTGCATGTGGGGAAGATGACTTAGATTGGATGACCAAGTTTACAAAGTTGACGCGCGTCCTTACCTCCCCCCAATTAGTAGTTAGCCCCCAAGCAAGATGACCTAGTTGATGCTTCGTCGTGCCCGCCAAATTAGTCCCCTGACCAAGATAGCCAAGATGACAAAGACGATTACCGGTTCTCCTCCTCCACCTCCTACAACTACTACTACCAGCACTGGTACTCCTGCTGTACTGCTCTCGATGCTGATTCGAGGTGGGCCATCTCGACCTGTCTTCCCCGTTGTTGAGAAACATGCGGACTGTGTGCATCGGCGCCTTGATGTCCCTCTGGAGAGGATCCATGTCCAACTCTGACACCTTGCCTGCCTGGCAAAGAACCGAGGGTGCGGCCAAAACCTCATGAGAATGGGATCCTGCATTGCTCCTTTCCTTCTTTTCTTGGCGAGTGCCTTGGGCACCGTTCCTCTTGTTCCGCATTTGCGGGGAGAAGCATTAACGCAGCGACTGCACGGGAGAGAACTTTCCAGCCCTGTCGCCGACCTGCAGGACCTAGCAAAAGACAAAAGTTGCAAAACTGCAAAAACTACTTCCTGGCTGCCTGGCTCTGGTTCATGCGACTCAGGTGATGACAGTCGGGCTCTCACCTACTGAGTCAGGACATGGAGCTGCGGCAGCGAAACAAGCAACGGCCTCTGCTGCCCTCTGAGGCCAGCACGGCCTGTGAAGGCCTGCAACTGTGAAAGCTCAAGGGCGATGGCTGCCAGTGGTTTCACCACCTGTGCACAAGGATGCTGGCCGAGGGCAAAGTGTCTACGGCTTCCTCTGACCTGCAGCTGGCCTCAAACTGGTGCAGGGACAGGTTGCCACTGGGCGGCTCGTACTTCTCGAGGTAGAGCCGCACAGTTGCCCCAGCCACTCCAGTGCCGGACAATCGGAACACAATTCGTGAGTTGTCTTCGAAGATAAAGCGGAGGCCCTGCCTCTTGGAGACGCTTCCATCGACCGGGTCCGTGTATTCAAACATGTCGTTGATCTTAATCCTTGCAGGGCACTTCTGCGATTTCACACTACCCTTCCACTGTCTGTGACACGACATGCTTGGAGGCGCAGAGACGCAACAGTTGCAATCCCCAACTTTCTTCGCTCGAGGCTCTTCATCCCACCGAGCTCTTGCCCAGCCAGCTCTCCCGTCTTGGCCTCCATGGCTGCAAACATCTCCTCTGCCTTCTGCTTGTCGACTCCTCGGTGGACACATGAAGAAGAGCCGGAAACAAGGCCTTTCACGGTTGCCCCCCGGCCCGCCTTCGTAATCGTAGCGAGCGTAGTAGTTGCGCCCGTACTCTTGCCAGTGAGCCATGGCCACGTCCTCTACGGTGATGAGCTTCCCTGCCTCCTCCGTCTTTTTCGCCAGGATCTGCAGCCACGCAAGTACAGCCCACATGCCATCCTTTTCCCGAACATGGTCGGCGCCAGTTCCGAAGGACTCCTCACCGCAGATGAAAGGGGTGTAAGTCTCCTTGCCCGGGAAGTAGCTCGTCCCACTGTCCATGAGGTTTCCGAAGAACTTCCAACCTGTGGGCACCTCAAAGCATGGGATCCTCTTCTTCTCGGCGACCAGGTCCAGGGCTGCCGAGGTGGGCATGGACCTTGCGCAGCCTCTCAGTCCATCCTTGAACTGAGGGATCAAGTGGGAGTTGGCCACGATCATGGCCAAAGAGTCCGAGGGTGACACGAAGAACTGGGAGCTGAGGATCATGTTGCGATCGGCATCGCCATCAGCCGCGGCACCGAACTTCGGGATGGCTTTGCCGGTTTCCACCTTTTGGCCCTCCTTGTTCAGGCCCATGTCGGCCACAAGCTCGACCTCAGGACGAGACAGCGAGGAAGGCAAGGAACCTTTTGGTGGAGTTGCGGGGCCTCAACTGTGCTGCCGAAGCACGGCGTAGGTCAGGTTCGGATCCGCGTGGCCGTGCCAAGCGGACTCCGGACCTCCGAAGTCCGGCTTCGGACTCGCATTCTTGCAGCTTCCAGCTGGAGCGCCCAGCTCTCTTTGCGAAAGATGTCGCAGAAACGACGGGGCAAAGACAAGCGTCAAACTACGAGGTCCTTCCAAGATACCCAGCGCATACGGCCCCTGCACACCAGACATGGAGTCGTAGGTTATGCTGAACTCTGGGTGCACCATCAGCTTCTTGATGGATTCGAAGTCAAAGCACTGCTTCAGCACCGCCATGTGGTCCTCGGCGCAATCGAAGATCTCCACACTTTTGCCACCTGGGAGCTCATAGATCTGCGGCTTGGACAGGTCAAAGTCTGGAATTCTGCTGCATGTCTTCAACTCGCTGAGCTTGGCCGTCCACTCGACCATCTTGTCAGTGAGCTTCTCAGGGGCGGGGCCACCATTCTCGCAGTTATACTTGATACCAAAATCGTCGTTGATTCCGCCCGGGTTGTGCGACGCTGAGCAAATGAATCCACCGAAGGGCTCCATGCCCTTCCCGCGGCAGCGGATGACTGCCGAGGTGGCTGGTGTTGACAGGAGGCCACCCGTGCCACACCAAACCCGCCCCACTCCTGCACAAGGGTTGAAAGCACGAGCACTGCTGGAAAGCAGTCAAAATGTTTTTTTGCGTGGTGCCGACCTGTCTGGTTCGCCTACGACCGGATAGTTTGGGTCTCGAACAGACAGATCAAAGACAAATCAACACCCTCGTTTCATCTCTGCAGAACCTGCAGCGAACGCCATCTTGATAATGATCTGGATTGCTTCCGGATTCCAGAAGCGGCCGTCGCCAGAGACAACCAAAGTGCCTCCAGACACAGGCACACCCGACTCGAGCAGGGTGTTGAAAACACTCTGCACATAGTTGGCCAGGTAAGTGCCCTCCATGAAGACCTGTTCGGAAACTTCAGTTGCAAGGGTTCTTCGTATGCACATCAGAGTCCGGGCGCCTTGGTCTTCTTCCGAAGGCCCGAGGTGCCGGGCTTCTGCCCTTCGATGGGCTTGGTGGCTATGGACTCAACGGCCATGTCGCAATCAACCTTGATCACCATGCTGGGCTGAAGTGGCAAAGCCTCAGCCAAGGCGGTGGCTCTTGCGCACCACACGAGACGACCGCAGAAGAGGCTGCAAGCGCAGAACAAGAGACACACAAACCATCGTCTAGGGCCGAGCTCGCAGCGCCAACGACACCACTGCAGCAACATTCAGCTACGAATTCTAACGAACAGTGTCAAAGCTATCGCCCAGAATCCTTGACCTGCATCCACGGGCACCCCACACGGCACATCTGCTGCAACCAATACGATCTCTGTTCACCCCAGGAACGCAGTTGAGGAATCTCGAAGCGGTACCCATGCATCACCGGTTTTCAAGCATATCAAGACATCGCATCTGCCCACAAGTTCGAAGAAAACGTTAAGGTCCAAGTGTCGGCTGGTTTCAAAATGTGAGGATCACCCTCGAAGACAGGGGCCTTACATGGCCTGTCTTGAGCCACACAGCGTCGGAGCATGACAAGACTTCATCCCCAGGCCCCCTGTGCATCCGAAGCGAGTTGGAACTCAAGAGCAGCATGCAGCATCTTGGCCTGCAACGTCTCGACGGCGTTGGCGACATGCTGGGCGCAGCGAGTCACGGCCGCCTGCGTGGGCTTTGGTGATCGCTCGAACGCGCACAAATCCTCAACAGCTACGCAGGAGGTCTCAAGCGTCCGGAGATTGAAGACCTACAATGAAAAACCGCCCACAGGCCTTGACCTGCTCCTCGGTGCTGTTGCCCTCACGGCAGAGTCTTGTTCAGTTGCTGACTAGCTTTGCTGAAGAGGTTCTCCCAAGTCTGTTATCCTGAGGGATCTCTTCAGGGAGTCTTGTGAGTCGATCCCAGCTGCGGCCAGCAGCATACTTGCACGTCAGAAAAGATGCCTGGACGTAGGCAAAAAAAACCATGTCAACGATGAAGACAACCTGAGCGCAAAGCTTCGGACAGTCCTTGTCACTGCTGCCTTGGGCAAGAGACCTCTGTTCGGAAAAAAGCAAATTGGCGTGTCCGAAAACGGAATGAATTGCCGCCGACACACCATGATGGCCACAATGTTATCCAGGATGGCAAGGAACAGCTCCGCATCAGGCTGGTCAAACTGAGGGAGGTGTCTTAGCCTAGGTGGGACACACAAGTTTATCATCGATTCACCTTTGCTGGACTGTCTCGACCCTGGACTCTTAAATTTGTCACGCGACATCTGCACTCCGCCATAGCCCACCTGACACGAGGCATGCAGGAGTCAAATCACAGCCACGTGACAAATCGTTGCTAAGGCAAGTGCCCACAGAAGGCAGGCACGGTAGTACTTGGAGCCGCGGGCCAAGTACCCAAACATGGCTAGAGTCCACATGATGAACATGACGACGAAGTATGCGAAGAAGCGCAACATCGAGGATGTGTTCTTTGCGCTCGTCCCACTGAGGATAAGTATGGCGGGAACATTGCCCACTGCCAGCCCCATGCCCACTCCCAGAATGCGGTTGATGTTCGTGTCGAACGATGAGCCAGATGTTTCTGAGAAAATGAAGGAGGTAGCAACCACACAACCCATGCTGTAGCCGCGAGAATATACCGACCAAAGAAGTGCCAGCGTCCAGGACACAGTGTTCCGAAGGGCAAACCAATGGCGACTGTTCGCGTCCTTGCCCCCAGATGCGCTCGGTGCAGCATCGTTCTGGCTTCAGCTCAGCACCCAAGCCGGAAAAAAAAAGGCACACCTAAACCCTAAACCCTAAACCGTATGCCCTAAACCCTAAAACCTAAACCCTAAAGACCCTGAAAACCTTAAACCAGAAAGTATTCTCCTGATGTCTCCTTCATCTCAGTGGCGCGCATCGAAAGCGCTGATGGCAGCGGGCCAGGAGCGGAGCCTGGGTGAGGCCAGGGGGGGCTCGAAAAGGCGAAAAGCGAAGTTTGGGGTTTAGGGTTTAGGGTTCTCTCCGAGCGGCTGGTCCAGGAAGGCCATCTCAGAGGAGAAGGCATTCTCGGGTTTGGCCTGCTTCTCCAGAGCCTTGCAGAGCACTTCCTCGGAAGGTATTGGTGGGGCGTCACATAAGAACAGCGGGCCGCTATCGTCACCGGAGTCTGTTGAAACCGACAGAAACGCATCCGGGGATATACAAGCAGCACTCGATTTCTGCTCACTGCCTTTATGACTTGATACTGGGGGCGATACGTGATACAACGACAAAACAGACTCCCTCCTGAACGCCTGGGAACACACTGCCAGCAAGTTCTTGCACGGCATTCCGACCAAACCCATCCAAACCTCATACTGCACGAGCCCCTTGAAAGCAATGTCTGCTCCAAGAATCGTCTGCTTTCTTTGCGAGGTGCTGCAGCTCCAGACGTGTCTCCGTGCTGATGTCTGCCTGCAGCGCGAGCAAAACGTGCTTTGTTCAAACATTAGTTGTATGTGTTTCCGCCGTTTTACATATTATATAGAACTGTACGTATACATGAAGAGCATGCCGATTCTCGGTGGTTACTGCGACTCCGATACCATTGTCATACTGCCTGTGCTTGTGACAGCAAGCCTTGTCCCGGCAATCCCGAGCCACCGCGGCGAGGCCCTCGCTGCAGGCAAGCACGAAGTCCTCTTGAAAAGATGCTTCTTTTCGTTAGATGAGTGAAAAGCTATGTGAGGGCTGGGTTTATTGGCAGGACTAATCATGACAAATACTTGGCGGGTCTAGTTACATTTAACTACTGTCACGGTTGCTATTGGGGTTCGTACTCCTCGAGCACTGCTCGCCCCTGCCAGTGGACTGTCCGAGGTAGCGCATCAAGCCACTCTGGATGCGGAGGAGCTGCCGTAGCTGCCGCAGAAACGCAGCAACCTGCAGCTTGTACCGGCAGTTCAACTGAGCTGCTTCTTCTGGAATTTTTCAATCTCAAACCAAAAACCACACAAACCGTCGAAACATGTAGCAGAAATGTCCAGATGCTGCCGGAGTTGCTTTTTGCAGGTTCTTGTGTTGCTCCCGTGTGTGGCCAGAAACCCACGACTCCCACGCGACCTGCGGAGTCGCAAGGCTACAGAGGTGACCCAAAGTACGGTTTTTTTCCCGGGAAGGCGGCCCGGTGCCTGGTCCAAGAGCGCCTCTGCGGTGGTTCGGCGCATGCCCAGCTGTCGGATGTAGAAGTTGGAACTGTCTGCGTGGAAGGGAAACTTCCAAGCTTCCTGCTGGAGGATTGTCAACAAATACTCCAAGCAGCCGGCCGTGTCCTCTGCCAGTTGTGCCAACTCGGTTGCTGCAGACCACATGCAGCTGTGTCTCTTCACAGACTCGCGGCTCCAGGGAAGGAGGCCGAGGGAGGGGATGGCGAGCAGTATGGCAAGTACGACAAGCCAGAAGCCACACATGGCAATCCCATTCCAGTTCCAGTGAAACTCCCAATCCCAGATCACAGCTCGGAACCCGGATGTTGTCTGAGGGTTCATGAAGGGGACCAGGAGCTCTGAGAATACTCCTAAAGCATATTGCTTCTGGCCAACGGATGTCGAGCTGAAGAACAGGAGGTATGTTGAGCAGACTGCAAAGAGGATCGCGGGGAAGCTATGGTACCCAAAAGGCAGCCAAGCTTTCTGCCAGAAATCCTCTGATAAGTAGTTCGTGCCACCGGCCCCAGAGCTGCATGAGTCTTGTCTTGCCGAAGGCATACCCGGTTTCATAGATCGTAACCGGGCTTTTGTCCTTATACTGAACGTGCGAAATACGCACTGTGCTCAGTTTCCGCGGATCAGGCGATTCGCCAATAGAGCCGGGAGTCTTACTGGGATGAATCATCGCCTTTCTCGGGACGACTACGTTGTACGTCCACTTATGATTTGATGGGTCATAGTCCCAGTAATCGACACCTCCTCCATGAGAGGATTCTGCTCGTAACTCGTCCTCACGAGCCCGTCGAACATCATCTTCGGTCATTCGAGTCGGCTCGTCTAGGGCAAAGATTTCATCGATATCTTCGAGTTCGAGCATATCAGAGGCGTCAAGGCGCTCGCTTGGCTGGGGCACAGTGGACTGCATCGCAGGATCGTTGATGCACACTGATCGAGTTTGCCTGTCGTACACGGCCAGCATCGGGAACGTCCATCGCTCCTTGGGTGAGCAATATATCTTTTTGACTTGATGGACGCTCGCACGCAATGCATCGCGCTTGAAGTCTTCTAGGTCGGCGACGATGTAGTCACCGTCCCACTTGCCCCCGTTCTCGAAATGATAACCCAGAAAGATACCGGGCTTACTCGTAGGGGAGAATTTGCTGGGGCGTTGGTAGGACGACAAGCGCTGATCAACGTCAGTGCCCTGGCGAGGGCCAGATTGATCGTTGCCTCCATCGTCAATCCATTCAAGATAACCATCATCATCGAAACCAATTTCAACATCAATCAATCCATCATCTCCAGGCGCAGGTACCGCGTACTCCTCACCATCGCCGAGGACGACTTCATCTCTCTGACTCCGCCGGGTCTGCTTTCGTGCCGGCGTAGGATAGAAGTCAACAAGGCATCCAAACGGCAGAATCTGACCGTCAAATTCAGCACCATTAAATCGCATCGCATATGCACTCTGGCCCTCGCGCAGTTCGATGTTGCGAGCATGACAGAAGTGCTTACATGCATAAGGCCAGAATTTGGCGCTCAAACCCGCTTGTCGAAGCGCCACACGTGCGCCATGCAGGACAAGCTTCACCTTGCTCTCGACAATGGCATTAGTCCGCAGCATTCCCGGGGTGGAGTGCTTTACAGAAATGCCGACTTTCTTGCAGGTCGATATGAACTCACGGGCCTTATCACAATAGATTTCCCGAATCGCAGAAGGTGCATATCTTCTCTCCACATCCATGGAGAACGAGTTCACATCTTGAAGATCGCCAAAGACCTGCTGAAACGCTCGAAGCGTGTCGGCATTCGTTCTTCCCTTGACGGGAACGCTCTCCAACCACTCGGTCGCTAGATCGTAGAAGACGACAGCATCCGTCTCCCCATTATTCCCGCGATTGCCGAGCCCGTGCAACACCATTGTGTCGATGGTAACGTGTTCGCCAAACTTCTCAAACCCTTTATCGCGCGGTGAGTCTTGGCGGAAGGACTTGACATTTTCCATCTTCGCACGTTGGCAGGCATCGCAATAAGGGTTCTTAGGCAGATGGGTCATAAGATGGCGGATCGACTTCGCCTCCTCTCTCAGATCGCGCGCTCTAGGTTCATCGCGCGGCGATTGAGACTTACCCTTATCAGGCACCTTCTTGCTATCGTCAGGTGCACTCTTCTGGGCGTTCTTGGCGTTGGGCATATCGAGATCAAGTTCTCCAATGGCGTCTAGCTCGCCACCAGGCTCTTCACCAGCCGCCACGACCTTTTCGTGGACGATAATCGGTGCTGGGAGAGCCGGATACACACGAGGGAGATCAGGTCGACCGGCTACTACCTCAGTCTCACTTGGAGCGAGGTAGGGAATATTATTGATCACGTCGACCTTGAGTCGTTTCCCCTTCGGATCAAAGAATATCGGATCGCAGAAGGGCTCCCAAATGAATCGATAACCAAGCTCCTTGCATCGTTTCCCTAGGGAGAGGAGACTTGGCGTACTTTCCAACACATAGGCCTCAATCAGTTCATCGAGACCATCGATGCGCATGTGCGCAACACCCTTGGTGTTAGTCTTCCCGTTGGCGGTCCGAAGGCTGATCTTGGCATTCTGAACGATCAGATCCCTTTCCTCACGGGATAAATCACCGAGACCAATAAGGTCTATACCGCAACCGGAGTCGAGCATGAGTCTCCGTACCCTCTTAACAGACTTGACAGCAGCAGCAAAGACTTCGCAAGCGCTCCGCTGAGAAAGCGTGAGCTCAAGAACACAAGCATCATTTCCTAACGTTTTGGCATCAACGTCATCGAGCAAAACCTGCTCTCGCCAAAGCACAGCCTTCATGTGGGCCCTTCGCCTCTCGCGAGCACTATTCAGACCACGGATATTTTCCGGCCACGAATAGTTCAAATTCCTCTCGCGATTGACGGGGCCGAAGGCCGGCTCCGGGAAAGAAGACTCAATCACGCGGGTCTCAGTATTCCCAAACGATACTGTCTTCCGCTTGACTGACGGACATGCCATATCGAATGATGCAGCACAAGCGAACGCAAAGTCTCCAATGGAGGATGCTGTCATTGCCTGAGGGTTGCGGCACGCCCCTCTCAAAAATCCGAGGGCGTTGGCGCCGCGCTGTCAACCCGCCTTGATGTCGGCGCGGGCTCAGCAGGCGCAGGAGCGGCAACAGAAGTGCTCTCAGCAGGGGCACCAGGCTTCACATGCTTGTATGGACACTTGTCACCTCTCGTGCAATTTCCACGCGCATAGTAGAAGCAAATACCAGACTCCTTTGAGATCGGTGACTGGGACCGAGGCGGGAATCAGAATCCCTTCGGCGAGGAGCTTCTACCCTTGAGGTTGTGAGAGAACTTACAACCGCTTCCTCGCGTACATCTGCCGTTCTTGAAATCGTAGCAGATTTCCCGTCCTCGTGGAGATCGTGATGCAGGACGTGTAGGTGCAGGAGCTGCCCTTCCCGGACTGCGCGAGTATCGCCTCTGGGCGACGTGCGCCTCGGCGAGCTCCTTCGGTATGGACTCGTATGGACTCCCTCTTCTTGAGTCTCGGCGGCCAGGAGATCTAGATCCTCTCTTACTTCGTGAGAATGATCTGCGCGGACTACCATGCGCAGGTGCAGCATATCGTCTTTGCGCAGAGGTGGATCGTGTAGCGGTGTACATCTTCTCCTGGTTGCGTCGTCGGCGCCAGGTTGTAATCGCATTGACGCAGACGGTCCGCAGATATGCGTAGTTCCGAACAGACACGTCCCTGTCCCACAACTGCATATCGAGCTCGAGACAGCGGAACTCACGCACCTGCTCATAGAAGAGGGCGCAGAGAACAGGATCTTCGGGGCGATCGACTGAGATACCAGCGAGAACATGATCCCACCGATTGGAGAAGGCTTCCAGCCTATCCATGAGTAAACCGATCGATCGTGGTCTTCATCAGATCGACGAGCTTGAAAGTCGAATCACCAGTAACATGTGGGCGAAGGAAATCATACAACAACCATAATATCTGCCTACTGCCGAGTCGCCGATTTATCGTATGCATGCGCTCGGTTTCGGTCTGGATCTTATTCTTCAGTGCAATGGACTTGACACACTCACGGAATGCAGAGTTGCATTCGTTTTCAAGCATTCCGTACTTGCACTCATCAAGAAGATCTTTATATCGCGTACCATCGGGAATCTCAACCCATGAGAGTGCGTATCCGGGATCGTATGCGAATGCATTTGCAACTCGCTCCTTCATATCGACGATCCAGCGTCGCAGCTGAGCGGGCTCCGGCTCGGGGTCGAGTCGGAAGGACTTGCACTTCGCCTTCTTAGCCTCGCTCAGCGATCCATCGCCCTTGGGTCCACCGGATCCCGTATCGTTAGGACCAGGTGGATTCCCAGCCTGTCTCTCAAGACATACGAGACAGGTTCTCAAAGGATCTCGGCAGCATCCGTTGCAGCACGAGAATCGGCAAGAGATGCACGGCCGTCGCACGGTGGTCGGGAACGTTCCGGTACAGCGCTCGCACTGGAAAGTATCATTCCCGCTCGGTCGACCTGTGGGCCTGATGCTCGGCGGATCGAGGCCACCATCGGGCGGGCCACTCCCGTGAGGAGGGCCTCCACCACCAGGCCGGCCGCCGGGCGGGCCACTGGGTGGTCCACCACCGTGTCCATGCCCTCCAAAACCACCACCGTATGCACCCCCATGATCGTTGGGGCCATCACCACCGAAAGAACCACCGTCACCGCCATGCGCGGGCGGCGGTCCGCCTAGTCCGGGTGGCGCAGCGCTGGGTGCAGGAGCGGATGTTCTAGCATTAAAGGCGGGCATCGGAGGCATAGTCCATCCATCGATGTCATCAGTGGCAGCAGGTCGAAGCGTTGCAGTGACGCTTGCGGCTTGCGTTCGGTGCTAGCGTGAAAGTACCGGTCTCGCTATGGAGAACAGGTGCGCCAGCCCCGCTGCCAATGAGATTGGATCGGCCAAGCATTGCATCATACCATCTTGAAGGTCCCTTCCCTGCCGGAACTGTTCGAGTGTCATAGGAGGGGCCCCAGGCCTGTTGCGAGCCGCGTGCCTGAGTCCTCGGACTCCTCTTCCTCACTGCCCTCGGCCGGGCTGGCTGTGCGGCCTTCGGTTCCTCCGAGGCGGTGGCCCCAGCGAAGCTTTCACCGTTGGAGCCTTGGCTGCTGGAGCGCCTTTTGGCTTGGCCTCCGGCTTTGCCTCCGGGTGGCCTCTGGGTCCACTCGCCGGGGCTGCTTGCTCCTGCCCAGCGTCGGAGCTGGGGCTTCCAGAGCTCTCTTCCTTCGCCTCGGCTTCCTTGGCTGCTTTGGGCGCAGCCTTTGGCGAGGCTTCGGGCTTTGCCTCCTCGGCTGGCTTTGCGGCCGCCTCTACGGAGGCAGGCGGGGCAGCCCGCTCTGCCGGCTCTTCCTTCTTAGCGGGAAGGGGCTTCCCGCTCTCCTTCGGAGTCGCTTCCCCCAGTGTCCTCACCAGGCGCAGGGCCCGTGAAGACAGGCACCTTGGGCGGTGCGGTGTCCAAGGAGGATTCTGAGCTGCTGGGGCTCTGCACCTCCTGGCCGGCGCCTGCGGGGATTTCCTCCGGAGTGCGCGGCTCTGGGATATCGGTCCCCGGGCCCTCTACGAGGACGACCGGGTCCGTACCCTCTCTTTCGCGCCTTTCGGCGCCTCGGGCCTCGCGGTTTGCGCGGGCCGCTTGCGAACGACCACCTCGGTGGTTCTTCTTCTTCCCAGAAGCTTGGGCAGGCTCCTGGGTCGCAGGCTTCCCCTTGCCGGACTTGCCTGCTGGAGCTGGCTTGCCCTTTGCGGGCTGCTCTGCTCCCTTGGACTGGGCTGCCTTGCCCTTGGCGGGCTGCGCAGCTCCTTTGGCAGGCTTGTTGCCCTTGGTGGGCTTCCCTGCTGCTCCCTTTTCCCCGCGACGGGGGGTTCGGCTTCCCGACTCCGAGGCGGGGGGGCCCACACTCGGGCCGGTTTTGCCTTTGCCCTTTTCAGGCTCGGCTGCCCTTTGGGCTGGTCTGCCCCGGTCTTCGCCTGGGGCTGCGGTGCGCTCGCCTATGAGAGGGCGGCGCGGTCGAGCTGGAGCTTCGGCTGCTCCGCTCCCTTTGGCACCTTGTGGTGCCTGGCTGGAAGAGGCCTCCTCCTCTTGGGAGGTCCTCCAGTCCCACTGGGTACTCCAGTCGGAGTCCCAGTCCCACCAGCCCCACCACTCGGACGTGGCGGCTGGGGGGTGGCGGTTCGGCCCGCGCACCCGCTCCGCTACCATGCGCGGAGGTAGGGTTGCGTATTGGGCTCTTTTGCTGCACTAAGCAAAGAGGGCTGCGGAAGTCGCTTGCACTCAGGTTAAGCCCTTTAGCTCAAACCCTCTGCTCTCTACAGCTACTACCTAGGTTTCCTAGTGTAGCCTACAAAAATCTCGCAAAGCTGCTTGGAAGGCTACAGAGGGCTTGCGAGTTATTCGGAAGCTGCTTAGAGGGCTACAAGGGGCTTGCGAACTATTCGGAAGCTGCTTGGAGGGCTACAGAGCGCCGTGGCGCTTTGTTTCATTTGATTGCTTGTCAGTGCGTCAACAACAGAATGAACCAGTTGGCGAACAATGCTTCGTCGATGGTTCGGGTGTTTCAGCTCCAACTCGTGCTACCCGTGACGGTACTGTTGGGGTGGTGGGGCTTTGTGATACTTTGCATGAGAAGTCCGGTGTTGTGGCGTTCGCAGCCTTGCGACCCACATTATTTGGAAGTGCGGCGATGGCAACCATTCCACCCGCAATATTGGGACAGCCGCTTCATGAACAGTCCGGTCCCGAACCTTCGCATCAGGCCTCTGTGAGCTCTGCGGTGTCGGCAGCAATGCCACCCGCGCAAGGCTTGGACTCCCAGCATGTGGTTAGGAAGCCTGGCACCTTGGTTAAAGGCAAGAGTCCGGTAATCAAGTAAGGTGGTTGGTGCGAAAGGATAAGATTGTCAGGGGGTGAAGTTGAATTCAATATGCATTGGGACTTGGTAGTCCGTGATTCTGATGATCAGCCGGTCCAATCCGGGACCATTGACTCTCGCCATCGTGTTAGTTTGAAGTGTAGGTTTTGGGGACCGACCGCTGCAGCAGCAGTCGCGGAGGCTCGCTACCCCTAAAAAACGGAACAACCCCTGGCTGGAAACAACCCCCCTTTGGAAACAACCCCTGCCTGCAAAAGCTGACACACTGCGAAACGGAGTTACTTGCTTCAACTTGCTTTTGGCTGCCGTTTGAAGACAATTTTTTTGTTTATGTCAGATCTTCTCGCACAGTCAGTCCTTGCTGCGTCAGAAAAGTGATGTGAGGAACACAGTCTTAAGGCCCAACGGACCTGAAAATGTCGAATGGTGACCGCGGAGATTGTCGGCCCACTGCGGAGAGTGCCAAGCAGAAATTAAGAAAGGCACCAAGCGCCTGGACGTGCAACCGCAACCCTGGAGACGAATCGCCTCTGTTTTGCCACGAGGCAAAAGCCACTGGAAGGCCAATGGACAGGCAAGAAAAATAACGTTTCAAAGGCTGCATTGTGTTGCATGATGTGCAGCTTGCGAAACATGTCTTTTGCGTTTGAAGTTTTTCAGTTCGCAAGAACTGAAGCGAAAAGCTTCCACCTGCAGCCTTTTTCGGTCTCAGGACGAAGTGAAACGAAGCAAATCTCGTGGAGACAGGTGTGCTGCAGAAACAGCATCATGGCCCTGTGGACATGCCACTGGTGGCTCGCGGTCTGGCTCAGCTTGGCCACCGCCGTCTCCTTCAAGGTACCCGCAATTGAAACATACAGGCACATGTAATGCAAATGGTTCAGCTCCGGTGCAGCACGCTTCAGAACAGAGTCGATTGAGCAGGTTTCCGATGTGCCGGTAGAGATGGTCCGCACCACCAACGCGACCATCAAGGAGCATGTGGAGAGGATTGCGGCCAAGAACTTGGAAGAGGAGTTCAAGGAGATAAATGACATCCCAAATCCTGAGAATGTCACAAACAACGCCAGCAATGCCACTCATGGTTTCTGGTCGCAGTACCAGCAACCATCACTAGTCGCTAAGCCCCTGGTACTGTGGGCCCACACGATCCATCCCGCCCCCTTGCCAAGGTTTCGGCGAGCTCGGGAGGAACTTCGAGTTCATGATGTTAAAGCTGGCCCAGCTTGAGACGCTCTGCGAGTTGCAGCAGGTCGAGATCGAGTCCTTGAAGAAGACAGTGAAAGGGCTTGCGGAGCATGTGGATCACGAGGACAGCGTGGCGTCATTGGTGCAGAAAGACGAGAGCACCAGGATGCAAGAGGCCCAGAACACGCTGAAGCGAGTGCTCACCAAGCATGCCCGCCAGCACAAGAGCAAGGACTTCCATCCGGCACCTCCCAACCAAGACCACAAGCCAGACGCGCAGGAAAAGGCCACCGAAGAACTGCTATCCGAAGGAGCCAAGCTAAAGCAGAAAAACTCGTGGAATGTCGGGGGCTGGATCAACGACGCTGTCCAGGCAAGGACGGTGGTTTTGATGCACGGTTGTCTTGCAGGAACGTAGACTTGGAGGGTCAGCCATGTCTTCAGAATGTGTTCCAACGTCCTTGATGCCTCCGAATGAGTTTTCTGGGACAATTCCTTCAAGAGTAAAGCACACTTGGAGAGCTTGCTTGCCCGGGCAGTTATCTTTCAGACGGGTAGCTGGCCAAAGCCCCAACAAAAATTCGGCTACTGGCGAACTTGGGGAGGCGAGTGTGGGAGCCTTGTTGTAGCCTGCCAATCGCTTCAACCCGAAATTCGTAGGGCCGGGGGTTGGCTGAGAAGTGACAGTTCCCAACCCAAGCACGCAACAGGATACCGTGGACTTGGGCAAGGACGCAGCGCAGGACCCTGCCTTCAGAAATCTTTGTTCGCCTTTGCCTGCGAATCCAACACAGACCACAGAAGCACTAGATCTCCGAAGACCAGCAAAACCAAACCCAAAGAGCCCAGACAAGCAAGCCTCAACAACTCGATAAATCCAGGGCTCTGACAGGCCCAAATACTCCAAAGACTCAGCCCCAGCAAGAGGCTGTTAAAAGCGCGGCCAACAGCGCTGCGGCAGAATACGAGAAAGCTGCAGACAAGGTGGCCTCCGGTTATGAGAATTAGAGGGTTCGGGAGGGGCTGGAATCTGGGATGGGGATGAGAGCATGTCTGATACCGTTGATTGGTGTTGTTGGCTTTGGCACGGCGAGTGGGGCAAGCCAGGTGGCGTGGGTTGCCCAGAAAACGATCGACACGGTGGAGATGGCCGTGCAGATCCTGGTGAAAGGCTTCACCGACTGGAATGCAGGATGCGCAAATCCTGAGTGGCCCACTATGAGATTCTGGAACAATCAGTTTGGTTCAGGGATCATGGCTGATTGGGGTAAGCAGCATTGCTGGGTCAGACTCATGGGCCAACAGATCGACCTCTTCAATTGGAACTGGGGAAACACATGGGTGCAGTACCCTGCCCCTATCAAGAAAGCGATCGATTTCTTTGAGGATGTCGCAACTTGCGAAGGTGGAGATGTGTTCAAGTGCATCACCAAAGAAGTCGTGCAGGCAGTGCCACCGCTGAACGACATGGTCTCGGGCTGCAGCGGTAGAAACCTGTTCGAGTGCTTTGGCAACCAGATTGTGTCGATAGTCCCGGGGCTGAATCGGATGGTCACCCTCGGTGAAGACCTCGTGAACTGTGCAGGTGGCTCAGGGGCCGTAGACATCATCAAGTGCTTCGGCTTGCGGATTCTGCAGGAAGTGCCCCCGCTGAGCTTCCTCTCGCGCATGGGCGAGATCTTGCGGGACTTCATCGGGACCTTCGCCAAGATTGCCACCACAGTCGTGAAGCATGCCTTAAACAAGGGCCTCGGCTTGGTGCAGACGGCTGCCACTTCCGCATTTCCAGAGATCGGCGCACCGCCCGTGGTGCACCACGCCGGCAAGAACCTCGTCGTGAAGACGCATTCCCAGCCCGCGTACCAGGGCACCGGGGTCAAGGAGCCAAAGCGCATGTCCACGCTGCTGCTCGACCGCACTCCTGCGAAAACGCCCAAAGACCCTGAAGACCCCAAAGCCCCCATAGCTTGAGGGATTCGAGGCGATGCCTCTCCTTCCAAGAGAGCAGCCAAGGCAGACGGGCACCAATGCGACGCAGGCACGCGGTGATGATGACGAGGATGATGGCGCTGCTGCAGCGATCACTTTTCAGATTGAGGGTTATGGTCCCGAGACCACAGGTCTGATCACTCAGCTCCTGGGCGTGATCTTCAGACAAGTCTCTCTCATGGTAGTCTCTAGTTAGCTCACGCTTCAGCGAGTCGAGTGCTCAGCAAGGTTTGACGGGAAGGAGACAGCCACTGGCTCCTGCCTAGCCTTCGCGCCGCGGAACAAAACCGGCGCCGGCGCCCAGGCGACGAAGCGAGACTGGCAGGTGGACAGCAACGATCCTTGATGAAGTGTGCTTGATCTCGGTGCTGTGTTGGGGTTCAGTCATAAATATCGAGAGGTTTGAAACCGTCCCAACAGCCGAGGACAAGTTCTTGCAGCTGGAGCCCTGGGCTGTTCCTTGTGACAACACCTGGATGCAGCAAAATTGGGACAAGTGGCAAGGCTACACCTTCTACACATCCCGGTCCAACATCGAGAAGTGTTTGACTGTGACCTTCGCCATGGGCTTGCAGCCCGTCGCAGCCTTCGTGGGCGGATTGCAGTTCGAGCTGCTTCCGACACCCTTTTTCGAGTTTGACACGCAAGTTTGCTGGCCGAAGCATCATCCAGGTGGCGTGGACATTAGTGTCCTCCGCTTTTCGATGCGCTCGGCAGGCATCGATCTCCTCAGCCGCACCATGCGCTTGACGAAGCGCTTCGGCGACGACACGGACTTCGCCGGCAGCAACCTCAACAACGGTACCGCAACCTACCGAAGCCAGCTTGGCCTGAAATCGGGATCGGACGTTGAGAGCGGGTCTGCCATCAACGGGATGAGTCGGACCTCGACGCTCTTGCAGACCAACAGCAGCCATGACGAGCAGGCCAGAGCCTCGTCGAGGGTTTTCCACTAGACATACAGACTCTGCCTTGAAATCCTGCGCGCGCAGGCCGAAGAGGTCGCGATGCAGTGGGCAGACGTGGAGGACTGCGGCCCTGTCAACTCAAACTACGCCTGACACCCTTCGACAAGATAAGACAAGCGGCAGCTTTTCGGCTTCCGTAGTTCTAGTACGCCAGCTCTATCCTGTCGTAGCCCACTGTTGGCACGACACGTAGCTGTCGAAGAGCCTAAAGAGCGGAGTTTTGCTTGGAGCTTGACCCCAAGCTGCAAGCGAGGAGCTCTATCTGGCATCCGTGGAGCCTCCGGGCCGCAAGGATTAGGGCCTTCTGATTGTGCAGTGTGACTTGTGCGGAAAAATCGAAGCGGCTTCCAGTGGTCATCTATAACTGAGACCGAAACCGGTTTCGTTCCGCCGACACCACAAGGTACGGACCGCACATGTCTGTCAACAAGACCTCCGAGTTGCGCGGCGCAGCTGCGCACCGCCGCCTCAGCACCCTGCAATCGGAACCATCCAAGGAGTCGCGCGGGGCTTGCAAGCTCCAGGGTTGCCGTGTTCCGCCGAAGACAGGGCATTCGCGGTTTTCGGTTGGGTCAAGGGCCAGAATACAAACGGAAACCTTGTGCATCTCCACCGTGGCGGGTCTGTTCTTCAAGCAACGAGCTGCCGCGGCCGCAGGGAGTCTGGAAGAACTCCCAAAAGTCTGCACGCATGTTGGTTTTGATCCAACCGTCCATTGCGAGATAAGGCCAGGTCCCACCAAAGGATTTATGAGGATTGTATACTGTAACTCCTTCCTTTTGCCTCCCCTCCACTGGGATTCTTCCTCTGTTCAAGGCTCCACGGGTGCGAGGGATTCCTTGAGTTTGCCTGGCAGCTCAAGTTGAGAGCACAGTGCTGCCACTCCAAGACGGAGTCTTGATGCGTAGCCTGAGCACCACACGGCTCCAAGCCAGGAGTCGTACAAGCTCTTCGGCTTCGGAAATCCGGGACTGGTCTCCTTCGACATTGAGGCCGGTTGTCTTTCTGTTTTTCGCACGAGAGTTGCTCTCCACGACTGACCGGTTTGGGAAGCACGACCCAAGCAGGGTCTCCTCACCGGCAGCACCCTGGAACTGGGCGTGACTGGGTCTGGCAGATTCATGAAGCTCTGTTTTGTGGCTTTGGGCGCCTAAACCGTTCCCGGCAAAGCGTGCATGTGGCAAGAGCAACAAGTTACCTCTAGCCCGGAAGCGTCAGGTTCACAACCTTTTTGAAGCTTCTCATCTTGGCTGCGTGTTGATTTTCGCCAGGTGAAGATGGGCTTTGGTCCCTTCGATAGCCCGGCAGTACGGATTCCGCTCCTGAACATCGTCGACCAGTTCTCGGCCGTCCTCATGTGGGCCATCGTCTAAACTCCCCTAAACCAGAGCGGCCATAGCAGGTTCAATATAGTCAATCAGCCAGCAAAGTCTGAGCCGTGGACGATTTCTCCGCCCTTCACAGGAGCCTGCCCTGGGTCTCGGCGAGCAGCCGCGCAAAAGCCGAAGCGGCTCTGAGCGATTTCTCACAGACGGATGTTGATGACCAGCTCGAGCTGAGGAAGGCAGGGCCTTTCAGAGAGAGAGAGAGGGAGAGAGGGAGAGAGACGGAGAGAAGCACCCCTGCTTAGCCGAAGGCGCCTGCCGACCCGTCCTCCATGGTGGCTTGGTTCAAGAGCGAAGATGCTGGTCCGGAGTGGCAGAGCGCAGTGGGCGGCTGGAAGGGTCGCGTGACGAAGGGCAGCGTCACCAAAACAGTCGAGGCGGGGCATGGGGCGACAAAGGCTGTGCAGTACCTCACTGGCAATACCCAAGCGGGATATGACTTCGGCAAGATCATGAAACCGGACTTCACGATTTGTTCGATCACCCGCTATCTCGAGGAAGGTCAGAGGGAACGCATTCTATCGAACACCAATCCCAATTTCCTCCATGGCCACTGGGAAGGTGGCACAGGTCTTGCTTTCTACCATACTTGGGTCACGGCGCGTGGTGGTCCGGGCGATACCAATTGGCTTGTGATGTGTGGCAACAACAACAAGGTTGTCTTCGTGGGCACGGAAAGGAAGAATATCGCTCAGCATCCTGGTGTTCGTGTCGATGCAGACTTCAACCTGTACATCAACGACGGCTTCGGCGGCGCCGACACCGAAGTGTCAGACTTCGCTGTCATGGAGGTCATCACGTGGAACCGGGCACTCTCGGAGGACGAGATGTGGACCAGCATGGAGTACCTGAACTCGAAGCTTCAGGCAGCATGCTTGTGTAGGGGAGTAGCAGGCACTCAAGCTTCACGCTCATCACATGGATGGCGCGTAGAATTGAAGTGCAAAGCATCCGCTCGACGTTCATCGTTTGTTTCGGCAATTTGTCCTGTCCAACATCACTGTGATTGCATGGCTGCCGTGTTCGTGGCTTGGTGCTCCCGCTCCAACCGATCTTCAGGGAAGGAACCCGCCAGAGCGGCCTCCGAGGCGCAGCGTTGGCATGCGGGTATGTGCGTGTGCTGGCGGCATCTGCGAGGGAGCACGCGGCTGCTCCCGATGAATCGACTGTGAGTGCTTGTCGCTGCGTCGCCTCGCAAATCTGGCTAGCCTGACTTTCGAAGAGGTTGTGGGCCAAGAAGATGCAGAGAGCCAGGGTGACAGAGAGACCGAGATAGCGAGAGAGAGAGAGCGAGCTTCACATTCCCCCGCTTTCTACGTCAAGTGCAAGTCTTTCAGAATTTTTTGTGCAGATCATGGCCGACGTATACCATACATGTGATAATTTCCGATGCCCGACGTTTTCTTTCGGCTGCTCGGGACATGACACACATGACACAGCAACGAGCAAACTTTTGCATTCAAAGCTAACTGCCGTAGCACTCAAGAGAGAGAGAGACACAGCTTTCAGAGTGTGCTGTTTCTGCCTAAAGTGAGTGCTGCCTTGCCACGTGGTAGAAGCACAGTTGGGGAACGGCCCAACAGTACGGACTTGCGCAGCAGCACAGACCAGCTGCGTTTTTGAGTCCAACCGGAGCCAAGACGGTTCCTGAGACGAGGCACGAAGGCCGGGGGTTCTTCAGTTAAAGTACAGGGCTAGTAAAGGGGGGGTACAACGGAGCCGGCCAGTGCCTCGAACCTACAGTGGGGAGACAAACCACCCACAATCTCCAGTGCGCACTCGTGCGCGAAGTAGGTTGACTGACCTGCTTCTGGCTGCGTGCAAGCAAGACACAGAGCGAGAAAGCGAGAGAGAGAGAGAGAGAGAGAGAGCTGCAGAAGTTGTACTTAGGAAATGTTGCTCAGGCTAGGAGGGTACGGGGGACTTAGCCGCCGTGATCGTAGCCCTGGCACAATGCTTCACATAGCACTTAGGTCTGGGGAATCCCTTTAAACTTATGTGATTACATGCAAAGGCAAGCCAAAAAAGGCTGTGGAGCGGCCTTTCGAAATTCGTCAAGACGGAAGAACTCAGGTCGGCAAGTATAGTAACATCGTCATGCAGCCATGTATTTTTGCTCCAACGACCACAAAGGCTGACCTTGCGAGTTCTACCAACGGACTGATGGTCGAATCAGGGGAACGGTCTGTGTAACATAGCTGGTTCATGTTGCAACACTAGCTCGCTCATGTTTTCCGGAGAACCCTGAGTAGATGCATCGGTGCTGTGTAACTGTGAACCCTGGAATATTTCATAGACCAATATACTGCTTGGCTCATTCTGGGGACCAGTTATCGTCTTACACTCCCTTAAAGCCCCATAACAAACGGGGGGCCATGTGCCCGGGGGTTTCGAAGCCCCTCATGCCCTGCAGAAGAAGAAGAAGAAGAGAGAGAGAGAGAGAGAGAGAGAGAGAGAGAGAGAGAAAAAAAATATCCACCCTGGCGAAAGAAAGAAAAGTATCCGAAGGCGCAACTTGGACCTGCCGACCCGTCCTCCATGGTGGCTTGGTTCAGGAGCGAAGATGCTGGTCCGGAGTGGCAGAGCGCAGTGGGCGGCTGGAAGGGTCGCGTGACGAAGGGCAGCGTCACCAAAAAAGTCGAGGTGGGGCATGGGGCGACAAAGGCTGTGCAGTACCTCACTGGCAATACCCAAGCGGGATATGACTTCGGCAAGATCATGAAACCGGACTTCACGATTTGTTCGATCACCCGCTATCTCGAGGAAGGTCAGAAGGAACGCATTCTCACTAGCAGATATCCCAATTTTGTCCATGGCCACTGGAAGGGTGGCGCAGAAATTGCCTACTACGGTGCTTGGGTCACATCGAGTAGTGGTCCGGGCGATAGCGATTGGCTTGTGATGTGTGGCAACAACAACGGGGTTGTGTACTTCGCGGGCACGGAAAGGAAGAGTGTCGCTCAGCATCCTGGTGTTCGTGTCGATGCAGACTTCAACCTGTACATCAACGACGGCTTCGGCAGCGCCACCGCCGAAGTGTCAGACTTCGCTGTCATGGAGGTCATCACGTGGAACCGAGCACTCTCGGAGGACGAGATGTGGACCAGCATGGAGTACCTGAACTCGAAGCTTTAGGCAGGATGCTTGTGTAGGGGAGTAGCGCTCAAGCTTCATGCTCATGCTCATGGATGTTCTGGCCACGCAGCAGGCGTGTAGAATTGAAGCTCTGAGCAGCATGCTCGCGTAAGGGATTAGCAGGCACGCGCATGCTCTTGTGAAGCGAGCCAGGCTTTTGCAGTGCTTGACACCGGTTCTCCACACGCAGCTTGCAAAAACCATCCTGAGCCCTTTTTCTGTCCAGCGCGATAGCATGGCACTTTGTTACAGTGTTGCCCAGTGGAAATCACTGGTAGTGGTCTGCCTCGCCTGCAGTTGTGGTTGCTTCAACTGTCAGAGTCCATCTCTCGACACGACTGTGTAGAGATAAATGCGGAAACTGCCTCGCATGCCCGTCCAAGACAAGGACTCAAAACCTTCTATTCAAAGCTTGCTTGCAAGAGTCTTGGACGAAATTTGAATTTGGCTGAAGGCCTTCACCATGAGGGTTTAAGCGATTGGATCACACCGATCTGTTTAATCCTCCTGCGAGGCGAGATACTTGAGGAATCGCGGCGCTCATTTTCGATTTCGAAACGCGTGTTGTGTATCGGCATACCACAGCAGGGCCACACCCGTCGCAGCATATCAAAGGAAGACAGACCAAAGTGTGGACGCCGCTATGCGCATTGCTAGTGCAAGATTCAAGCCCGAGCGCAGACGGCGCTGGATGTCCCTTCGGCAAGAAGCATTGCCGATGTGCATGCCCGGAGGTGTTTGATCTCCCAGGAGCAGATGCTTCCAGACCGCCCAGACCTCAGAGGAGAACGCACAAGGATTTCGGTTCTTGGTGTGGTGGTGAGGGGTGGTGGGTTGGGTTGAGACGTTTTGGAATGCGATCGGGTATGTCTAGTCTGCATGGGGTCCACTTGCTCGAAGCTGCGCCCGCCCAAGCCGAAAGGTCAACGAGGGGGCTGGTCCTTCAACTGAGACATCTGATGGGACCCAGTTTGGGGTCTGATCCACTGAGCGAAGGAACAGCCGTGCCCAGCTTCTCTTCCCCTACTGTACCAGCGTCTGCTAGAGTGGAGCAACACAAGCGTCCTTGTGAGCAGCTGTGGGGGCTTTCGTTCTGTCGGACTCCTTTATGTAGACAAGTCTAATTTGATTGATTGCTACACTGTACAGCTCTGAATGCCAGAAGTTCAAATGTTTGAACCACTCTGCCCAGTCAGGGGTGAACTGCGAAATCCACGCAGCTGCGGTGCTACTTGCATCTCGCATACTCATCTGCCGACGACCGTTCTTGTTTTTTCTGCTGTTTGTATGACAGGAGCACTTCAGCTCCGGGTGGTTGACTTGCGTTCGCCCTGCCATTTGGAATCAAATTCGAGTGGCCGTATCTTCCGGGTTTCGTGCATTCGCTTTTCTTGACATCGATTTCTTTGCCGATCCGGCTCTGTTCCTGGTTGGAGAGGGGGCATCGACTCCGACGCAGCTCCGCCGAAGGTGGATGCAGTACCATTCCGAGCAAGTGCTTTTAGGCGACATGTGCGTTTCCCCACCAAGAGCAAGCTCAGACAGGCTGTGCATGTTTGCTCGATCGGTGACTGTGCGAGGAAGTCGTCCATCGGGGCACTGGCGAGAGACAAAGAGACTCCTGTTGCAGGGTAACGGCCGATGGAGGAGCGCTGACTCCAGATGAAGGCCATTACGGGCTTTTGCAGCGGATCAGGCAAGTAGGAAAACCACGAATAATGAAACTCGTAGGTGACAAGACGGCACCAAAACAACGCAACACGCTGTTGAAGCACAGCGACCCAAGCTAGCTTCAAAACCTTCGGCTGCACTGCATGAGGGCATCATGGTTCCATTCAACATGAAGCATCGACGCTTTGTTTGTCCGATGCCTGTGGTATTGATTGTAGCAGCAACTGTTGCGACCGCACTATTGGCTCGTCGGGACCAGCTGGAGGAGCTCCGGGACCGTGACCTCGAGGCGGAGTTCACCATGTGCAGCTTCAGGTGCCGGCTGGTTCTCGTGTTTGGCCATTTGCAGCTGGTGGCACCGGTGGATTTGGCCAAGCTGAAGGCCCAGAAGGACGCCTTCCACAACAACCCCAGGGAATAGGAGTCGCGTAGGACGGCGGAGCGGGCGCGCGGAGGGTGTTCCCGGCCAAAAAGTGCCTAATTTTTTTGCGCGGCGCAGTGGGCTCAGGTGCCCAAAGCTACGCCGCCCGCCTCGGCAGGGCGAGGGGCAGTGGATGTCGTATATATTATCATAGGGGGGCCTCTCAACCCCACCTTTGCGTGTCCAGTGCGGAACCGCTGCTCTTCTCCTTTGGGAGAGGGGGGAGGGAGGGAGGCGGGGTGAGGGGAGGGAGGAGGGGGGGAAGGGGAGGAGGGGGGGGGAATCAGGTGCAATGAAGGGAAGCCGGGCATGTGCAGGGAGGAGGATTAGGTGGAGGGAACCTGAGGTAACCCTCAAGACGCCTGACACTGTGGCTCGGCGGAAAGCTACGCCGCCCGCCTCGACTTTTTAGTGGTACTGCGAGGGTGCAGTGGCTGTCGTATGCACCATGCCGGGGCTCTCAACCCCAACCTTTAAACCGTTGGGTGTCCAGTGCGGGAAGGGCAGAGGGGGGGGTGGGGTGGGGGGAGGGGGCCTGGGGAGGGGAGGAGGCTTACAAATCAGGTAAAATGACAGGAAGGCGGGCAAGGGGGTTGCAAACGAACGCAAAAACAGAGTGTCTCCAAACTTTCGCAGTGTTTGGTGTAAACCGAAGGAAAGTATTGAATGATGAGGTGTTGTTCATATCCTGCTCTGGAAGATTAGGTGGAGGGTACCTGAAGTAATCCCTAAGACGCCTGGGGCTGTGGCCTGGGCGGATTTTTTTGCGCGATAGCGGGCGCCGGTGCCCAAAAGGTGCCCAAAGGGTGCCTCTTTTTTTTGCACGGCGCAGTGCCGCAGGTACCCAAAAGGTAATTTTGTTGCGCGGCGCAAAGGGCGCAGGGTGCGTTATAAGCCTATCCCGACCTGTGCAGATCCAGCAACTGCAGGCTCACTGTCCATTGAATTCGGCGGCCGCTGGAGTGCTGAGGCCGCCACCTTTGTTAGACAGCTTGCACGGTGCAAGGCACGGTCAGCTCCACCACCCTCGAGAGCTGCCGCCATCTCCGCGTTCACCCTCCGGTGGTCGGTCCTTTGCCGCAGCACGCTCCTTCGCAGCAAACCTCCTATCGCTCCCACTCACCAGCACCGCGAATGTCGATGGAGAGCTGCCCCCATTGAGCGGCATGTTCGCCGACTCTGCTTCACTTCCTCCTCTCGCTAGCCGTCTCGTGTGAGCGGCGCGCGCTGCACGGCTGGCAGCCTGCCTGTAGGCTGTGGCTTCTGCCCCCAGGCCTGCGCTGGGACTGCATCGCACGTCGGACGGTGAAAAAGGTGCGCTGAAAAAATGGGGGACGGATAGCAGCTGTCCAGGGCATGTTGCACGTAAGCCCTTGCGCAGGAAGCACGTGCCAGCGGTGGCGCGCACATTTGCTCAACAGCTTGCGATAGCCCTCACCGATGCTTGTCGGCCGCACCAAGCCGCTCTGAGCAGCCGTGTTGGCCCGAAAGCCTTGGTCCATGAAGCGCAAGCCCGCCGTGCACTGAACCCACGACTCGCGGCTGTGTCCTTGGATGCAGCATCCGCCGCATACGAGGGGATCAGCCGTGCATCCGTGTTGTGTGACATGCAGGATGTTCCTCCTGCCGTTCGCATGCCTATGGTTCAGGCGCGCGTCGAATTGTGTGTGGTGACAGGGTGACCGCACACGACGGCCTGCACCCAAGCGAAGGGTCGAACAGCGTGACACCTTCAGCCTGGCATTTTTCCCAGCCACTAAATTCATTGCGAGGCGAAGTCCGGCCAGGCCGCACTTGGGCGAGCGCGTTTTTCACTTGCCTCGCGAGCCCGCAAAGGGTTGGTGCTGTCATCGCACTGTCTGAGCACCACCTCGCGCAGCATACCCGCTTGTCAGAGCTTTCTGCACAACCTCCAGAACGCGATGGCGAGTTGCCACCGGCATTGGTGCTTCCCGTGCTTGCTTGCCCGCTGTTGGCTTTGAGGCTGCCAGCTCCCGAAGGAGACCTGTCCCTCGACCGGGTGGCAGCGTGCTGCTTCCCAGGCTGTTGACAGCTTCTGCCATCTGGCTTTGTTACGAGATGTGGATGCGTCCTCACCAGCCTTGCTTGAATCACAGGCGGGACCCTATTCTTGTCGGCGGGAAAACACTACAGGCCGCCATAGGCCGCCTATGGCCAGGGTTTAGGATTGACGTCCCCGCGTGGGTTTCTTTCCTGAAAACGGCCCCACACTGGCCAGGGACTACCTAGAAAGAGTTAGACAAACCTTGTAATGGGAAGGGCTCAGGGGGCGGAGGTGCAAGAAACCCTGTCTCCGGTCATGGACGTACCCCCTCGATTTTTTCCTAAACACGGGCCCGCTCGGCTCCCTGTGAGACTCCTAGGAACCTTTTCGGGGTCCCCATAAGACCTGGAAACACCTAGATTTACTTGCTGAGAAGCCACGTTGTTTTAGGAAACTTTTCCTGTTATTGCCCCCTGCCCCCACGTCCCCCCCAGATCGGGGGTGGGAATGCCCGAGCCTACCTTGCAATCGCCATTGTTCCGCGCACTCCGTTTGGACACCAATCCAACTTGAAACTGATGCAGCAGGCCGTTGCCAGCACGGCACGGGATGAGCCGCCCCTCGGACGAGTGCTCGAGCTCGCCGGACCAGCAGCTAGCCCCAGTCGTTCCTTCGTAGCGGGAGGTCGCGGCCCGCGGCAGAACACGCAAAAGGTAGTTGGTTCGCGGGCAAGCACGAAAAACGGAGGATGAGCCGAGCGGAGTGCAGGTCAGAAATCGCAGGGATGCGGCTGAGAAGGCAATCGTGTTCGGCGCATGTGAGCCACAGGTGCCTCTGGACGAATGCATCGGAGCATATCGGAGCCGAGCGGGGTGCCCAGCACGACGAAGCAAGCCTGGGGCA